ATAATATAAAAAACTCGTGTAACATTATTTGTCAATATAAAACAAGTATCCAATCAAAACGAATTTCTATCTTGCTATTTTCATATTGTAAATTCGCGTCTATCAACAGAGTATAATTATTTTGAAATGAGTGTTGTCAATATTACTAACATCCGAGTTCTCAATAATCCAACTCTTTTTACCGATGATTATCAGTTTGAAATCACCTTTGAATGTATTTCACCTCTACCAGACGGTAAGTTTCTAGAAAGCTTGGGCGATTTACATTCCTTTAGATTTGCTTTTACGATTATCAAGAAACGGATTATGTTCATAATTTCTTTAGCAAAAACATTTCATTCTACTCTATACGGTATTAATAAAATCAAAGCTAACATGGTTTGAATTAATAACGTTAGATTTAGAATGGAAAATCATCTACGTCGGCTCCTCAGAAAGCGACCAATATGATCAAGTTCTTGATTGCATTATGGTAGGACCTGTCCCATGCGGAATCAATCAATTTATATTCCAGGTATTATTTATAATTATTTCTATATTGTTTATGTGCTTGGCATTTTAAAATTTAGTTTTTATAGGCACCTGCGCCAAATCCTGATCGGATACCGCAAAGCGAACTCTTGGACGTTACAGTTATCATCATTACATGTTCTTACAATGACCAAGAATTTGTTCGTGTCGGGTACTACGTAAATAATGAATACATCGAAGAAGAACTTCGGGAGAATCCGCCAGAAAGAGTTGTGTTAGACAAGTTATATAGAAATATTTTAGCTGATAAGCCTAGGGTAACGAGAAGGCCTATTAAATGGCAGTGCTGTTGACTTTTATATGAGTTTCAATAGTAATCATACGAATTGGCCTATCTAAATTTTATATATAAAGTTTATAGTGAAACTTGATTCAAATTTTAAATATATTTTTGGTACTTAATAATTTTGATTAAATTTTAGCTTTTTTAATTTTTGTAAATTTTAGTTTTAAAAAAATAAATTTTTTTAAAGTGCAAGGTTTTTAGTTTTTTTTTAATATATGAGGTGTTAGTAAAAACTAGGCAAATTGTTCTAAGTAATTTTTTCCAACTTTAAATTAAAATATTTTAACAATTATTATAAATTTTTTTTAAAAAAAACTTACAAAAAACAATTTGCCTGATTTCTACTAACACTTCTATATATTATTTATATTATTTATTATTATTATTTATAAAAAAGATATATAGGATATAATTATATTATATTATAAACCTTAAAACTAGTATTATATATTTTATTTTTAGTTTATTTTGTCAAAAAAGCTGAACAGTTATAATTTAAACTACAATATATAGTATATTTGTTATTATTATTAAAGCTTTATTTAGTTTTATTTGGCATTTAATAGTAAAAAAAAATTAATTATTATAAAAATATATTATACAATATATTGTTATTATTAGGAAGCTTCCAGAAATTACATAATTTTGGAGTGGGTAGGTGGGTTACCAAAATATCAGGTTATAATTCTGATCAAAATTTTATAATTTTGGCCAAAAGTATAAAATAATTCTAGCCAAAATTATAAAATTATAAAATTATAGAGATGAGGTTCTATAGCCTAGTAGTCTAGGTGCTTTTCCCTCTACAGACAAAATCAACAGTTCAATTCTAGCTGGAAGTAAAAACTCTGTAATTTTATAATTTTATAATTTTGGCTAGAATTATTTTATACTTTTGGCTGTAGAGGGAAAAGCACCTAGACTACTAGGCTATAGAACCTCATCTC